GGCTCATTTTGGTACAAAGCTGTTCTGCCAGTGCTGGTATGGAAGACCGCTCACTCTCATACATTGGATTTGAGCGTTCTGTTTTTATTCTCCGTTGGGAGTGGAGGGCGGAGATTCAATGCTTGGCGCCGAGGGGAGTCGTTTGACCGCGGTGGCAGGCAGCAAGCCATTCTGAATGTTCCGCTGTTCAAGCAGCATGCGGTCGAGCATACCGATATGCGGCAATGCATAGCGATGTTCAAGGCTAAAACCTTGAGGTATGGCCCAGCTTGGCCATTGAAATTGCGTCCATGGCTGCAATATCTTCTTGTGAACCTGTGTGCGCTCTGCACCAGCTGTCGTATTTGATGGTCGAGGGTGGACAAACGCCTCTTGATGGCTGGTCAAAATCCACCAGCATGTTTTCGTGCACCGTCGTGAACTAGACGCCTATCAAATTCCGATGCCTTTTTATTCGAATGGCTCGAGCGTTTTCTCCGCGATGCCGGCGAGGAATGCTCACCCCCCACATGCGTCAATCAATGCACCGGTACGTTAATCAATGCACCAGAAGCAGCAGTACACCAAAATCGATCGATTTGTTGCACGGAAGAACTCCTGCGTTCCAAGGATGCGCTCTCGACTTCACGTAATCCGTGTCGCAATCATGTGACAAGGACGTAGTCCTGTGTTGCATATGAGCATGAATGTGAGCTTACGTTGGAAGGAAAATGCGAGCAGAATCGCACGCCCGAAGTCCTTGCTTTGCTCCGCTATGTACTCAACATATGCGAAGGAGCACCGCTCGAATTCGCTTGTCATATTAGGGATGCATACTGTAATGAATTGTGCAATCAACTATAATTTGTTCGGGTCATGACTGGAAACCGAGGCGGCGCATCACCGCATGTGCTGTCAGGAGGACAAAGAGCAGCGCACATGGAATCAAAAGAGGCGTATATGCGGCAATGAAAACGAATTCGATAGATGTCGCCACAATCATTGCAGTTTGAGGCGTTTCGATCTGCTAATCGAACTATCCCGTTGATGGGACGCCTCTTTGGAAGAAGGCGTGCTGCCTCCACTCCAACATCGTGCGAAACGAGCACCAGAAGTCCTTGGGCACCCGGGATGTCGTTCCTTGTGCAGGTCAGCCCCACATTTTCTGACTTCCCGGCCATACGTGTACCCATGGGGGCCGCCACCAGCACAAGTTAAAAATGGGCCAATATACACGGTTTCGGACCGTGCAAAAATCGTGTGAAACCTTGTCAAAACGTGTAAAAGTCTGCACACTCAATCGTTGCTACACGATTTGGTCCCATGTTCATGCAATAAATGCTCGATAAGTGCACTGTTTGGCATGATTTTTACACGACTTCAACCTCGCCACACGGCACATAATTTCCAAAACCGTGTGTTTTGGCCTGTCTTCTGCTGGTGCAGAGTGCGCACCCACCGCCTGGTTGTGATCGAGTGTCGGTCCTGAATTAGCATCTTCCATCTGCACCATGGCAGTGCTGGTGTGGCAAAGCCGCACCTGGGCCCTGTTGCTGTTATTCTGCATCAAAGCGTTTGCGAAAGTCTTTTTCACACCAGCCAAGTATCGCCGCAGGCAAAGAGAGATGGCAGAAGGTATATGAGCCGCTCTCGAGCTTCACGCATCTTATACGTGATTTTCGACTGCGTTGATGGATTCATTTCTTCTGGTGCCGCCAGCATACAAGAGAAGGGACAGAACCAACCAGTCCACAGTTGATCACGTACCTAGGTCATATAGAATCCAAAGGTTGGAGATCTTTGATGACATCATGCTTCCCACAAAGCAACTCCATGTCTCCCCTCCGCCAGCGGAGGTTTGCTCATGGCCAATAGCATCGCACACCTTAGTTCCACTAAAGCTCGTGCAAATGACAGCCCGGGCGCTGGCTGCTATTTTGCTGTGGCTTTGAGTACGCTATTATTTTGCAGTGCATCCGCCTCATCAGTGCTGGACCTGTGCCGCGGTCGCAAAGCTGCTGTTTGGCTCTGCTGCTGAAGATTGGCGCCAAGAAAGATGAATTCAATAACATTCTTTTGTCTGTTTTAACACCGCTATGTCTTCAATACACGATTCTCAGCAGAGGGAGAACTTGTCGCCTTCATTTTGATCTACGTCTCAAATATGTAAGCGCAAAATCGAACATTTTAATCTTCAATAATTTTCGTTCTCAACAATTGCTGCTCACCATGGACAAACGTGCGCATGTGTGAAGCTGTGATGCTTCCAAGATAGAGATGGGCAGCCGCCTGTTCGTGATCTGGCAAGGAAGCCGCGGAAAAAGGTACAATGCCGGCACCTGATTTCGTTTGTTCAATTGCCTAAGATCAAGTATCACCAGCGCAAACTGCGCTCAGGATGGATCAATCGTGTAAGCTTCATCGTGTTTAGTGTCCTGTACATAGCAGTGTGAAGATAAATTCCAGCAGAAAGGAAGCGATACTGCTCACGGGCCGGCCACTGAGCTTTGGCGCAACGATTTTCCCTGACGTTCTTTCCGCCGCGCCTAAGAGCAGAGGATAAGAGGCTTAGGCGCACATCGCTGCGATCAATGTGCGGCAAGAGGCAGCGATTCCTGTAAAGACATTTCGCAACGGTGGCCACCAATATAAGATTAAACGAAGCAAAACTGGAGAATTTTGTTTGAGATTCTGAGATATCTGCAGACGGCGCGCCAGCCAGAGCTCCACCTCTGTACGCAGGCTGCGGGCCACATCACGACTCCTCAGAGTGCGCTGAACAGTGCACCAAAACGAGCGCAAGATTTCATTTGACACAAAGTTGGCGCGAGCCTGGAAACCACCTGCGGCGCAGGCTTGGCAATTGCGGCGAACTATATTCTGAACGCTTGATGACACGCGCTCTATAGTGTACTTCTAAAGTATGCGTGTTTTGAACACATTTTACGAAGAATTTTCAAATTTCCATTCAGTTGTATAGATGGTGTATGGCTCCTGCGTCCCGCCAAATCCTGCGGGTCACGACACCTGAGGGCCCAGACACTTGCAAACGTGGCGGAAGAGGGAGCGGCGATGCCAAAGGGCAGGTTGGAGGTACATATATTAGTGGTATATATACCTCCAACACCCCCTCAACGAGGCGGCGACGCATTTCATGAATGCGACATCCCTGCGGTTAAGTGCGTGTGCTGCGTCAGTGCAGTGGCTGGCACCATTGTTTGTCGATGCTGCCAGCTGGTGCGCATAAGCGGGTGGGATCGTTGTTTGCTGAGCCAATGTGGCTGACGTCGTGGATTGGAAGTGCACGGACACTGACTCATTGCATGTGCAATCGGCGAGGACGTCACTGCCGTAATACTTGCTGTATTCTTGGATGTCCTTTTGGTCCAAAATACAAATAAGGAAGATGGGCTTATTCTTCCCTTCTTTTTTGTGTTTACACACATCTTCTTGGGCCCAAAATACAAGTACGGAAAATACACATATTCTCCGTATCATCTTTTATCCCTGGGTTCCCCAGCCTGAGTGTGCACGGGTCGCACTATCTTCTTGGGCCCAAAATACAAGTACGGAAAATGCACATATTCTCCGTATCATCTTTTATCCCTGGGTTCCCCGGCCTGAAGTGTGCACGGGTCGCACTGTGTTGCGCAAAAAGCCACGTGGCTTTGGCCTGTTCGCAAAGTATTGTATCACGCGGCCCATTTCCAAGTGCATGCATGCGCCCTGAGATTAAGATTCTGAACCGCAGACGCTTGAGAGGCCAGGCCAGGTCCGGGCCAGCCGGGAGCACTTCTCCACGGAAGCAGACGGGCGCTGTGCACGGCCCACAGCCTCGACACAAATTTCCTGTCCCTCCAGAAGGCGACACGAAAAAGAGTGAGCCCTAAAAAGAGTGAGCGACGGATGCGGCAGAGCCTGAGAGACGCTCGTCACCCCGCCCACGAAGCGCCACAGATTGGCTGTCGGAACCGCAGAGCAGTACAGGGCGGTACAAAGCGGTACAAAGCGGTACAAGGGGTGTAGTCGTGCATCCCAAAAAACCGCGGGCCGCGGGGCAGAAGATGCTCTGGGTGCCGTCATCGCCTGTCAGGTTTTCCCGGCTCCTGCCACCGCTTCCTTCCGACAAAGGTGGTCAGCGGAATGAGCAGCAAGGCCACCCGGGCCGCGGGAGGGGGCTGGACCGCAGGGCACCCGCACCCCGCGCCGCCCACAGGGGCGTCCCTGAGTTCGAGGGGTTAGCAAAAGGTTCGGCGCCCCTCTCTGCGCGCGAGAAGCGCAGGGAACTCGTGTATCTGGCTCCTCCGCACTTCCCACCAGGGACTTTCTGACCCAATTTGCCAGTCCCGCGCAGTCCGGCGCACGGTACCACACGTACGACACACCTGCACGTCAATCACACACAAGGGTGCGCACCGCACGGTCGCGTCGGCTGCCCGCGTACGCAACCTCCTACGGCATATGCCGGGCACACAAGGGGCGGGGGTGAGGCGGGTGGGTTTCAGGCGAACCCATCAAGCCCTTGCTACCTGGCACCCCACGCTACAAACACCCTCGGCAGGTGCCGGTCGCCGCAGTCAATTAGGAGCCAGCCGGGGCCAGGCCAACCGCCCCCTTACCCCCACCCCCACCCCGCGCCCCTCACCTCCCACACCCACGCTCCACCCACGCGGTACATTAAGGTATCGAGCGCGGCTTTTGCCGGGAGGCGCGCGGGCGGCGTAGGTGGAGGACCCAGCGGCAGGTGGGCAGTCTGTTGCGATGCCGGCCGCCGCTTTGGGATCTCGCCCGGTCCCGATCGCCGCCGTGCGGCCTTCTCGCTGAGGCGCGCCCCCGGCGTTCACCTTTCCTGCCCCCTCCTCCCCCCACCCCACCCCTCCTTTCGGCGTTTTTCCGGGCCCGGCGGGGCTGAGAGGGGGCTGGGAGGGGGATGCCCGATCACCTTAACCGCCGGCGCGCCTGCCGTGACATCTCGCCCGTGTTGCGCAGGAGTGCGAGGGGTCGGCGCCCCGCGGTCGGAGATGCGATACTGGGACGGGCAGTCGCCGCGCGGTCCGTGGCCAACCTTGGACGCGCGGCACGCGGAGGGCGAGCGGGCGCAACCGCCGCCGCCGCCGGCGCGGCACTTCCCACCGACTGGTGGGTCTGAGGGTTGGATGAAGCCATCCGCCCCCCCTCCCCCCTTTTTCCCGCCCTCCCTGAAGTTGTCACGTGGCGCGTGCAAGGCGGTGTACCGCGAGGCCCGACATCGGCCACTGTACTCTCGCAGTTTCCCGCCAGTTTGCCGGATCCTTATCGCCGACACCTTACCCGTGCGGGCGTGCGTCGACCGGACCGCTGATTCCGACCACTCCGTTCGTCGCCGCCGATCTCGGGAACCGCTGGTCGGCCCTTTCGTGCCCTCCCAGGAGCCTTTCCGCGTTTCGGCCGTTGCTGGATAACATGGCCGCTTGTCGTCGCGGCATTCCGCTGTCCACCCCCATTTTTTCATCCCCGCGCTTCCGTTTCAGCGCTGTCGATTCACCAGTCCCTCTCCCCTCACCCTCCTCCCCCCTGCTTGCCCGCGTCTGCGCGTCGCGCTGCCTCCAGGCAAACCTCCTCGTGCGCGGCCATTGATCTGACGCCTTTCCCACCCGCAACCTGCCCATCAGCACGAACATCACCAGATCCACCCTCCTCCCTCCCATCCCCTTGGTTCCCCATTCCTTCTCCAGCGACCGCCCGCTCCCTCCGTCTGGTCTTGCCCCAGCTCACCGCTAGGGCGGGCGGCCGTCTCCGGCAGCGCAGCGTTCCCGTGGCGGCACGCGCGCACACGTGACCGCCCGCTGGCCCATGGTGATGGGGGCGCTGACGGCATACGCGGGTGATTGGCGATGCATGTGGGATTTGTATGCCCGCATTGACCGGGCACGTTGCGCCCGTGGTGGGGGATTGCGTGGTCCCAAGGCCTGAGGCGAAGCCGTCGCTATCTACCAGCATCTCCTGGCGGATTTGGTGGGATTTGCCGGTTGGGGACAATTTGGCGGCTGACATTCTGGCAAACATGTGGTCGGCGTGCCCGGGGCAGTGAGGTGCTGGCGAGGTTGCTGAATTGGGGCAATTGCAATTGGCGTGTTTGACATGCTGCGTATGATGGTTGGGCCCGTAATGGCGGAAAACGTGCTCGTGATGGTGTTGGTGTGGTCGCATTTTTGTGTGTCGTGCGTGTCCGGTGGAGCGCTGGAAGGGTGCCCACCCACCTTGGTGGGGGTGGTCTGCACTGGCTAAAGATGGCGCCAAGAGCACGAACAAGACTGCATGGTTTTGTCCATTTCAATGCAGTTTTACATGTGCTGCTCACATACGTTTAGAATGGGGACATGTGCAGTATTGGCTAGCCAGTTATCTTCCAGTGCTGCCAGATGACTTCGAATCAATATGTTTTTTGCAAAACAGAAATGTGCAACTGAAAGCCTGTACCATGAACACCAGCGGTCGTTGGGCCAGGGCGTGCATATGACATGAACAGCACTGTTGAAGTTTGCAATCTGAACAGTCAGACTCGCAGTTCTTGTCCGCCCCAAGAAAAAGAACTGCTGGCGGCCCTGATTGTTTGCCTCAAGACTCCCAGCAATGATACTGGTTTCTCAGCATCAATGTCAAGTCACTAGACAGGCTGGGATTACTGACACTGTATGGATCGCCAACTCCTGTAGTGAAGTCCTGGTCGTTGTAGTGCTTAGGGGTGCATGCCAGTGCCAAGATTGAAGAGCTGCTGGATGCCCCCAGCGAATAGAAGTCAGTGACACAAGCCTGGGATGGCTGACATGTACAATCCTTCCAGTACAATGTTTTCCCTTCGGAGTTTGACAGCTCTCAAACGCCCACCAACAACTGCAGCATAAAGACAGGATCCACAGCCCGTTTCGACTCATAGATCAAGTTCCTTGTGTGTTGCAAGACTGTTGCACCACACTGAGAAATGTGATACTGTCGAAACAGAGCAGCAGTATCCATCATTTAAATGGATTATGCAGATCTGTAACAGCTGGTCAATCTCCCTGTGGTGCGAGCCACATAGGTCTTCGAACCTCAGGTTGCCCAGCTTAATGCTCGCCATCCCCATCTCTCACTCCAAAGGTAACCGCTGTCTTCGGGGTTCCCTGTGGTGGAAGATTGATGCCATGACGTCACTACGTTTTGACAAGTGACATGAGTCCCCAGGGGACGGGATGCCCTTCGTCCTCTACATCCAGTCGCCTCCCTTGCTGCTGGCAGTGCAGCAGACTTTTACTGGGCAGTTCGTTTGTGCACTGCCAAGATCGAGCTGTCGTGCAAACTCCTGGAGTGTCTGGAACTTGGACATCGTTGAAGAGAAACCTGCCCATGTTCCTGTCGGCCTAGTTTGCAGTATTGCTGTTGGTAATCCCTCAGAAGTCTTGTGGTAAGCTTCCCTTTAGAGTCAGAAAGTGCACGTCTGCACCAGAGTGTTTGAGTGCGATATCATGGAGGGTTTTCGCACGTGACCAGCTGCAAGAAGTTATATGTGCTATGTGTACCCACACTTTTCTGCCATTGCCTGAAGATCTGTTGTGGTTCTATCCCAGGCCCCAAGAATGAGAGAGCAAGGCAGTGCTGTGTGGACTCCGCGCAACATGTATCCGATGACGAAATGGCGAACAAGGATCAGTCCACATCCCTGGAAGACAGGCTTGCCAAATTGAGGAGTGGATCCTCTGTGAGTGCTTCAGTTTCTGCTGCAGACAAACAGATTGAAATGGAACAGGATGTTGCTCTGTGATGTCCTGTGATTGTGCTATGGACGCAACCTCTACTCTAGGCTTCTAACTATAGGCGATTGATAAGCAATGATGATATACAGACTAGAATGTGAAATAAGCAATAGGTTACTTGAGGATGGATTGGAAATTTGAATTGAAGTCTAAATGCATGCTCCTTGCTGTTCGGTCTGTGCTGGAGCACTTCCTTGCGATGCTGTGATGAAGAGCAGGAAGTGAGAATTGTTGTCCCTTGACTGGTATGGTTTGTTGGTGCGAAACACTGCCTCCAGTGCTGCCAGTGAGAACTGGATTTGATTATTTCAAATGGATGATTGTGTGTGAATTGTTTGTGAAGTGGATGATTACTCAGCGGTTGTTTTTGTATGTTTGGTTCTGGTAGCAGAATGTTCCTGGATTTGGTGCAGAATCTTCCTTGGTTTGGTGAAAGGCCAACACTTTGCTCGATTTAGAAGACCACAGTGATAGGTGATCAACTGCTCTGCAGGGTATGGCTTCATCAATGGGGGAGTTGGAGAGCATAAAGTACAACAGGAAGATGATGTCATGTGTGAAAGAGAGGCTGGCTGCCTCACGGAACAGAGACAAGCCCAGGGGAGCTGTGGAAGTCCCCAAAGACACTACCAGCTCAGAATTCGAACGCAGGAGGAAGCAGCTCCTGGAAACTCCCACCAGACCGACGAGAGACACCAAGGTTTGTGTACTCACTAGATACAGAGGAGTACAGAAAAGGGGAAAGGGGAGGGGCGGTGTGTGGGGGTATATGCAAAATAGTTTGTCATGTGTATAAGAGGCCATGAGCCGCTCCCATCCTAAGAGAAGGAGTTGTGGAGTGCGGCCTTGTCAGCTGCAGTGCCCAAGCACCAAAGGACCAATTTTGCTTAGTTGGTGTGTTCTTTGATCAAGAGTGAATGATTGTACCTGTGGGGATGCTGTATATTCAAGGAGATATGACATACATGGCATGCGTGGTGGATATGCAAGCCCATGGCCGAGAATGTGCCAGGCGCTGATCAGCGCTGTTTGTCACATTACTATATCGTGAAAACCAGCATGGCACTCTTCCGTTGTAAATACTCTGCTGGATTCAGATAATTGGACACCATCAGTTGTTAGTGGTCTGCAAGAAGCCCACAAAACTTGGTGAGAGAACACTACAAAACCCACAGGGTACGGCTATCTTAGCACAAGTGGGTCTGCACTGCGGTGCAAGGTTGCAGCAGTACATGGACACAATCCAGTCTAGTTTTTGACAACAAGGAGATGAAAGATGCAGGCATTGTTCTAGAGCCTCAACTTTGGTCTTGTTGGGATATTTGCCTGGGGTAGTCTTGTGGTTTCATCAACACCTTCTGGGCAGCTTACAGGGATGTCATTGTTCCCTAATCTCACCTCTCTTTTCTTTGTGGTTGCTGAAGCCTCAATCAACGCAATGGATTCCATGCAGGTGTCCAGACTGTGTAGAGCCCGGGAGGAGGTTGCCACCATATGCCGAATGATAAAGAAGATCACACGTGCATGGGACGTGGAGTTGACGATCGACACCCTCATACCAGGGAGGTACAGTGCAGAAGATGAGCAGTACCTCCAGAAGCTGCTGTCGTACATCCTGCGGGGGGAACACTGCAACCTGGGGGACGATCTGCTGCTGGAAGACTGGGATGAAATAAGGCACCACCTCTTGAAGGGTCTGCAGGTCAGCAGAGAACTTGCGCAGCTTTTCACCCTCTGTCCAGTTCCTCAATTATTGTATGTGTTGCAGGATGGCTAGGATTCTCATTTAAGCTTGACCCAAGTTGGTGCAGAACCTGGCGTGTTTGCGCACAACTATCAATCTACACTTTGTTGTGCACAACTATCAATTGCTATGCTTTGTTGCGCACAACTATCAATTGCTACGCTTTGTTGCGCACAATTATCAATCGAGTGCAGTGCTGGGCATTACCATATTACTAGATTGGAGCTTTTGGTGCCCATCAACACTGGCAAGGTGCAAGAGCTTTGTTTGTCCTGTCCTTGCCCATTGAACAATCACACCAATGCCTCCAGGGATGGATTAGGGCCCAAAGGTTGGGTGGATAAACCACGGATCCGTAAAGAGGAGCAATGCACCGTTTCGAGAGCTCCACAGTTCCTACAGTTGGCTTGTGTTGAGATGTTTGCTAGTCTTTGGTGGTGTGCTTTCCCCATGTTGTCCTGATTCTATGGTGGTCTGATGGCTTTCAACTTCTTGGGCATTAGGTCATCAGCGATGGGGAGGAAGCCAAGGACAGGATGTCAGCCCCTGGAGAGGGATCCACCTACAAGGCAACAATGGTGCAAAACAAAATTGTTGTGAAGAAAGTCTACAAGGGATATGGATAATTGGTAATTGGGGACCTGCTCTCCCCATTTTGGGGGCAATGCTGACAGGGCTCTCATTATGTGTTGCTGCTGATTTTTCATGTGAAGGTTTGACCCCTGCGTTCAAGAGGGAAATTACCATGGGGAGGAAAGAGAGGGGTGGGGGTGTGGAGGGTGGTGCTAGTGGTGACAGTGTGTGGTTGACATGATGCGCTGCCGACTGAAGGCCAAGAAGGCCAATAAGTTGTTGATACCTTTGGCATATCAGCTGTGATCCTGCTGCAAGCTCTTGCAGTAGGCAGGGGATGAATGGCCCTTCTCCACAGCCGATGCTGTGCAGCAGCGTTCCGCTTCCCAGTAAATTGTGGGCAGGAAACATGCCCAGGCGATGAGATTTGCAGTGCCCAATGGACGATGGAAGGGATCCCATGAAGTCAGGCTGCACAAGTGTGAGGCTGAAAGGAAGGCAGTACTGCTGTGTATGTGGTGGTGGACGCTCATGCAAGGATGTTCTGAAGCATCGATGTGCATAGATGTTCTGGAGGCCCATGCAGGTGAGCATCGCCTGTTTTGGAGGCTGCAGTGCTGATGCTTGCAGTCTGACAGAGTGCGACGGATTATGGTGTGAAATGGATTTGGTAAAGCGCTTTGGAGCAGTTGGTCAGATTCCCAGGGTGTTCGTAGATCACCACGCCTGACACCCAATTGCGAGGTCCACACTCGTTTCCTTCCAAGCACGAGCGGGTACCTTGGAGTAGGTGTGTCTGCCAACGATCTGTCTGTTACAGTGTCGTCGACCAGTGGCCCTGTGTATGTCGAACCTGGTTGCCGTAAACCTAGTGTGTCAGTTTTCTCCAGCACTTGAAGCAGCACTTGGAGCAAGGCTGCCTTGGGCAATGTGGATGCCTATTGTGCACCCAAGCAGTTTCTATGGGCATGCTTGCAAGGACGTCCGGAACGACGAGTAAAAACGCCTGGAGGTGATGAAGGGGTGGGGTGGCTTTGCTTTGAAGAGATTACGAGGACCGACTCCCACAAGTGTGTTATGTGTTGGCGTTTCCTTCCCTGTGTACGCATGCACAGCAGTGTGTCCACATGTTTGGTGTGTGTCCCAGGAGCGAAGACCCGGAGGTACTTTAGTGTACTGCCTTTCTTGGAGTCCTCAACGGTTGCATGCAATCTTCGATGGAGACATTGGTACTAGGAGACATCAGCACGGACACAAGTTGCTAGGTTGCAAGGGCAGCCAGAAGTCTGGAATGCTGTCGTGCACTGGCAGGGGCTGGGGCAAGTGGACCTGAACACGTGGCTCGAGGGTGGCATGCCTGTGTTGGGGGGCATGGAAAAGACGCAGCTGTGGAAAGTCAGGGTGCGACTGGTAAAATTTTGTGGCATCCCAGAAGTCATCTCGCCTCTCGGGAAGATTGCATGGGATTCCTGTTCACAGAAATTTTGTTTTTTCCTTCGGGGCGTTTGGATTTCATTTTGCAATGTAATTTACAGGCCCGTTGTGTGTAGCCAGGGAGGGAGGTGTTCGCGGCATGGCTGCATCAACGTCCGAGCCGTTGGCAGCCAGGTGTAGTCAGCATGGCGTGCAGCATTCCTGTCTCCTGCATGCGTGTACGGAACTGCACCAATCCTCCAGATGAATGCTGCACACTTTGTGTTGGGCGCGCATCTTGAGCCGGAAAAGCAAATTGTCAATTGGGGAGGCACCCAAGGTTGCTGTTCTTACCCCGGCGTGTGGTGGCCTAGCCAAGCCACCAGGTTGCTGCCTGAGGCGCACAGTGAAAGGAGCCAGCTGGCGCAGTTGCTGGAGGCGGCTTTCCGAAGCGGCGAAATCTGGCAACGAACGGCTGTCTGTGCTCCGAAGCGATGAAAGGGGGGCCGGAAGAAACGTTGGTGAAATCCTGTGGCGATCTGTCTCGAATACAAACCACCAAAGGCGGAGTCGAACAAGTGGCACGAGCTGTGGGACTGGCTGCGCCCCACTCGAATTCCCAAACCCCAGCAACGTGTGAGGCCCTGTTCGGGTTGCCTATGTATGGGATTAATTTTATGCAGCAAATTGTCAGACACAGCGAAGCTGGCGTGGCGTGAGATGCGGAAATCCAAGAACTGTACAGGTGCATCCACAGAAACCAATGTAGTAGGCTTGTTCTTCTGAAGTAAAACGCATTGAGAACACAGTGGGTCTGCGTCGAGAAGCAGGAGCGATGCGCAGCAGTGATCACCATGCGACAGCCATGCGGTAACGAGGGGTCAGGAGCATCGATGGCATTAACATGCATGGACCGACCATGGTGGCATGTGCGAGGTGTCTGCCAGGGGATCCGCACACGGGGCAGGGGTTATCCAAGGCTGAGGGAAAGCCTGGCCAGCGGAATGTGCTAATGGGGAGGAACGCGGGCCATAGCAAGATGCGTTGGCCATTTGGGTGGGGAAACAATGGGGCGGTTTCTGGGGTGTTTGCGCAGCCGCATAATGACCACAGTTTCACTGGGTGGATCACTTATGACTCAGCTGACGAGGGACTCACGTCTGACGTGCATTCTGGCTCAGCCAGACTGGCTGTGTGGGATGGCCCGAGTATGCCACCACCGACTAGAAAAAGAGAAAACAAAAACAGGAAACAAAACTGGTCAAGTGCTTGCGTTTTTAGTAGTGTAGCAAGCTGGTCATGAAAATTGAGAGGAGTTTTTGCCTCAAGGGGAGCTTGGTGACGACTGAGCGAAACCCTATGCAGCAAGAGTATTTCAATGGGAGCTGCCTCACCAGTATTGACCGCGGCTCTCAGTTTCTGGTGGGGTCGTGCATCCTGAATAAGGATACTGCCCAGTTTGGGCATGTGTCTATCCTCAAAGCCGTTCATTCACGGCTGAGAGGTTTCTGGCCTGAAAAAGGCTATAAGGAACCGTGCACAACCGAAAGCTTGGGCCCACACCTGATGGCTCTTTCCAGGGTGGACTACCCCATGCTATGGCTGCATGTGTTCAGTCTGTCCATTAGTCACCCACAGCTGAAATGTTGTTGTGGAGAAAACATACGTGTTGGCTGTGTTGCTAGCCGTTTCATCACACCACTTCCGTCCAGATTCAATCCCATATGCTGAAGTCTCTTTCCAGCTATGGGTACAATCTAATTTAATAGCCACAGAACTATGTTTTGGGCCATATTGGTCAGGCGTTTAAGCCCCAAGAAACATGCTAGGAGATATCTTGCCTCAGCATGGGGTTGTATTTTTGTGTTGCCCAACCTGCCCATTCTTCGGTGGTCGTGGACACTTAGTTTCTCATGACGCTCTGGCATGTCACTGAACAAGTGACGAGAGTTGAGAAATTCAGAAAGGAAAGAGGAAAAAACACCTGAATAAGGAGTTTTGGACCAGTCGGGGCATCCATGATTGGTCTGGGCGTAGTACGTACATAAAATTGTACTCCGTTGGCTGATGTCTCTTTCCAGCCGCGGGGTCACCCAAATGTGCGTTTGTGGGGCTGTGCCCCCCAGCCGCTCAGTTTACAGGCATGTGCCTTGAGGAACATGCCGGGGTGTCTCTTTCCCCGGCATGGCATTGAGCTGATGTTTCTTTCCATCTCGTGCATCATTTTGGTGTTTTTGACCTGATGCAAATCGTATTTGCCACTGAAAAAGTGGTTGGAGTCTGCTTGCCACTGAAAAAATGGCTGGAATTTGCTTGCCACTGTGAAAGTGGCGCTGTCATTGGACAAAGACAACATTGGTTGGTGTATACCACTGAAAAAGTGGTTGTACGCGGCTGCCACTCAAAAAGTGGTGGTGCCCTTGAAACTGGACTGAAATTGTGCAGAGTCCCTGGGCATGGAGAGGGTGGGAGAGGGGGTTACGAAGTGGGGGATGACGGGAGCGCAATGTGCTGGATTGCTTTTTGGTGCACTAGACCTGTGGCGAGATGGGGGTTTGGAAGACCCCACATAGGGGCTTTGATAGGCGTTTGATGGAGTGAATGATTGTGGCATACAAAGCCTTAAGTGGGGGGGCGTGGTGGTGGCGGCGTTGCTTTTTCTCTGTCCCTTTGGGGTGGTGCTATGACCGGTGTGCTGAATGGACAGATCGCCTGTAAGCTTTAAAAATGACCAAGCCACAAGTGTGTCTCAAGTGGCGACTGCCTCAATCTATCGTGGAAGTGTGCAGGATGTGTGGAGCGCCATACCATGAGCAGGAGGGCGAAAAAGGCATCAGGAGGTGGTGCCGCACGTCCCCGGGATGTGGGGGTGCGTGAGTGGCAGCCCCGCTGTTTGTGAAGTGAAAGTTGTTGAGTTTGTGTGAGTGTACAAACTGCCAGCGAGTACTGGAAGTAGTATGCACTACCCTGCCCACATTGTTCATATTTTTGGTAGTTTGGTGAGCAGATCTGGTTGTGATATGTTGCCATTTGTTTTGTGACTTTGCAAATCTTGATCAATACTTTGTTTTTTGGTGTCACTTCTGTTGTGAGTGAATTGCTGGTGAGGGAACTAGAGGTGGCCACTCAAAGATATCATCCGGTCCGTTAAGTCCGGTTCCTTAATTTTTATCAGCTGTCCGTTAAATTTCGTTAAAGAAAAAGGGAGAAAAATTCAGAAAAAAACGAAAAAAATCCCAAAAAAATCGAAAAAAAACCCAAAAAATCACAACAACTGCGGCTAGTTGAAAATCTAGTATGCATAGGTTGAAATAAAATACAAACATACTCTCTAATAGCGAATTCCATAAACTATAAGTATGACTAAAACCCAAAAATCCCCAAAAAATCCAAAAATCCGTTAATTTTTGGTTAGTTTTTGTCTTTTTTCGTTATTTTCCGTTAATTAACGGAAAATTAACGGAAATTAACCTTTGTCCGCTATTAACGGATCCGGGTGGCCACCTCTAGAGGGAATTGGTCAAGAATACGGTTGAAGATGGGCAGTTGCATGTCTTGATCCTCCAAGTGCCTTTGGGAAACATTGCATGAGCTCATAGTAGACTGGTACCTTTTTGCACCTAAGTTTTTTTTACTATCA